AGGCTCTACACACCGGGGTCAAAGTTATTACAAGCGTCCCCGAATGGCGCCTATGAAGCCACCACGAAAACCTTTCTCTCTCTTCCGCCTTCCACATAGCATCCAACGCCCTCAAGATCAAATATTCCGGTATAGTATTCACGATCGGGGCGACCGCTTTTTCTAATTCGGAAGATGAAACATTTGCTTTTTCAGAAAGTTCTTTAATGAGGTTAGTCAATCCATCAATTGCTGGACCAAGAGAAGATTCTTTACGTATCAAACGTGTGATTATTTCGAAAAGTCGATCCACTTTGCAAAGTTGAACTTTCGCAAAAAGCATTCTATCACTCTGCAAACCGATATTAGAAGTGCGTGCCCACGAATTTACTACATCCTCTAATGTCTTAACCTGATATCATTTAATAATTTAGATTTAATATTTTAGATTATCGGTTTGTTCGTGGATCAAAAATAAAATTAAGATAAAAATACAAATTATTAATTTAATATTTACCACTTCCACATCTGTAACTTCAAGTATTTTCCTAAAACTTGATCCTTCATTAGTCCACTCATTGATATTTGCTCGTGTCCATTTAGGCTGAGTGACAGGATTATCCATATCGACAAAGCACTCAATATTATTGCTATGTAGGGCTAATTGACCATTAGTTGGATCTTCCTCGCTGGTTACATACGTACCATTATCCAATTTTTCAACCTGTTTTTTTGAATAATATCTTAACATAACATGCTTGAATCATAAGCAATGTTTAAAGAATAAAAGATACCTGAGCCACACCATCGGTGGAAATTACAAAGTAGCCAGTTTTCTGGGTTAATGTTATCTTCAATACATGTTGAATGTCAAAAACCAATCGAGTTTGTCCACTACGCCAAGTGATAGCAATCGCATCCTGCTTGGATAAAGGATCCGTTGAATTATTAAGATAGAATCTAAGTCTGCAGTCTCCTTTATCTTCTTCGAGTTCATTTTTTTCTGGAAGTTTTAATTCATTTAAATTACAAAGATCAATTAAATAACCGTTATAATTCAACTTTTAAATTATTTACCTAAAACAAAGGTGCCAATCACGAATTTGGAGAGTCGAAAATCGAAGAAAGGTTTTCGTGGTGGCTTCATAGGCGCCATTCGGGGACGCTTGTAATAACTTTGACCCCGGTGTGTAGAGCCT